CGTAGGAGATCCGCTAAGATGATTGACGGCAGTGAAGAACGCAAACGTCAGTTGGCTTTTGAACTTCAGAATTCACGTGTTTTTGAAAAGCGCAGTAAGGGGGAGTTTGGAAAAACCAAGGGTTGGTGAAATTGGAATTTTACTAAAAGACTTTTTCGGTTCTTTTTTAATAGTGAAGTAAACTACAAGTGGTTTATCTCACTGGTTAATAACAAAAAGCACATTTCCTTTTTTTTTTTTTTTTTTTTTACAATTAGAACAACCTTTTTTTACTGAGTTATTGGTTTATTCTTTTGCAGAAACAAAAATTACAAGGATCAAAGAAGAGGGCGTGTTTCTCGTTTCAAGATCAAGGTGGATTGAGTGAGATCAAAGCAAAGCTTTTTCAATACCGGGGAAGATTATCGGTTTTGCGAGCGTGTCAAACGTTTCAAGAATGTCTTAAAAAGAAGGATTTCATGCTCATGGTTAGTAAAATGAAGCTCTTTCATCTCTACTCCAAATCATCGCTTTACATAACATTACAGAGAGTCGCCCCATGAAAGAGAATCCGGATTACGGAATCCGGAAAATTTTTACTTGACAGAATCCGGAATCCAGCAATAATATTTGCTCTTGAATCCGGAATCCTTGGTTTTGGAAATGCCGAACACATTCTAAGGAATCCTGAATCCTGCTGCCTGTAATCCAGAAACCAAGTTCTACTGGCACAGAATCTGGGAATCCAGAATCTAAGACTAGGACACCCTTTCATGGATTCCCGTACAGTCGAATTTCCTGTAAGCGACCACCCAAAGCACGAAGATTAGGTGGTTGCCTGCGAGTATCGAACTATGAGTCTCTTTCGAGAAGAGGTCCCAAGACATCTGCTTTTAGCAAAGATTGTTTACCTGCAGTTTGTATATGAGAGGTTCCACGTTGTCACTTATAAAAGTTCTGTATACTCTTGGAAGCCTAGTACTGATTGTGAACATAGAGATTAGACCACGGGTCAGTTGGTCGCCTACAATAGGTTAAAAATTACAAAACTGTCTCGCCCAAAAATGGTCCGTAGCAGTCGCTTACTAGGGGTTATCGTTTTCTGCTTAGAATAAGGTGGAGATCGTCTAAAAGCTCTACAGAGCTTGCTTGATCTCCTGCCTTGTAGTAGTGTAATAGGTTATGTCTGTACAAATGAATGTATGGTAAATAATTACAGGGTTTTGATTGGGAAAAGTTTTGATGTTTTTGGATAGAGGGTCGCTTATGGAAGGTGATCGCTTATGAGAGGTGGTTGCACATGGGCGGGTTCAAATGTATTTCACATTTTATCCTTTAAAAATGTTTATAATTTGTCCTTCAAAGGTTTTGTTCTTTGTTTTAGTACGTACGTTGAAGCGATGAAAGAATCGAGTCAAAAGCAGGCCGAGTGTGCTATATCGCCATGCAGATAAACTAAAGACGATGCGATGCTGAATAAGATGAGACCATCTGAGCGTTTGGATGCACCTTTACTTGAAGATGAACCAATTCCTGATTTACTGAGTGAAATCAAGTCTGAACATGAGGAGGAGATCATTGATCAAAGGTTAGTTAATAGATAAATGCATAAATGAACTAACCCATTTTTTTTTTAAATAAAAGGGGCAAAAGCAGTGCCATTATCATCACGTGTAACAACATTAGTTGTGCGATGGTACTAAGCAATGTCTACCAAAAACCGTGCTTTAAATGCTTGTCAGGCGCGGATCCACACGGTTTCCACTGTTTTACTGAAATCGGTCAGATTTTTCATAATAGATTATTAAGTTGCAAGGCTTCATTCTAGGAGAAGGAACTGGCCAAATTATCCTGTCTGAATGACTCAGAAACCCAAGAAAGGGAACTTTGGGAAGTTAAAATCGAAGAAAATTTCCCATTGGGACATGCCCCCGGGCCCCCCAAAAGCTTGCGCCTTCGGCGCTCGTTTAGGAATTGAAATCGGTCGGTATTATCCTAGATCCGCGCTTGCTTCGTGTTTTTGTTCTAGTTTCATTATAAGGAAGTTTAAGTAAGTTAAGTTTGAGTAATCCATGTCAAACGGAAGTGAATCCTTTACCCTTTTCAAATGCCTTGATGGTACCAAATTTGTATTCTTTAGTGTCTTTTCTCTCAAGGAAAAGATTTGCGGGAAAAAAATGGTCAAATAGGCGCCCCAAGATTGCAAAAACGCCACATCCGGTTGAAGTGTGTGGCTCAAAAAACATCCTATGTGCTTAAAAACTTCCTATTATAATTATTATAATTATTATTATTATTATTATTATTATTATTATTATTATTATTTCGGCCTTCCATTTTTGTTTTTGTGGTTGCTCAAGCTCGCAAGTAGCGTTAACCAACAATTTTGTTGAAGAAACCAGCTATTTGATGGAAAACGCTTGACAAAAGACGTGCACTGGACGTAGAGGCCCACTGCAGTTATACCCAGTCAAGAGAGGATAAAGGGGACAGAGAAGGCATCCCCCATACACACCCTATTCCATAGGTAATTCGTCTTGAGTTATTTTTGAGACCACAGATCCCAAGGGGGATTAGACAACAGCCAATCACATAGCGCGAATGTGTTCCGCGTGGACGACCCACGCTCAGAGCCACGCGTCCTTCACGAATTGACGCAGAACAAAATGGGGGAAGACGCGGAGAGCGATACTGGCATTCGTTTTGTCGACGAAAACGACTACAGAGAGATTTCTGCTAAAGCTGTGTCAGCGAAACGGAAATTAAAAGAGAATCGCCCTTCCTGGCTTGTTTCTAAGCATTGTTACGAAGCTGTGAGTTCTAGCGAAGAAGATGAAAAAGTCAGTGGAAGTGAGGAGGAAGCTGTAACCGAAACGGAGAGTGCCAATGAAATAGTTTACAAGAAAACGTAGAAAGCTCCTATTCCGATGATAGTCCAGCAGATGAAGCGAAGAGGAGGAAAAGTGCAGGGAAGCCTAAACCTGCGCCTTCGAGTTCGTCCGTCACGAAATCAAACAAAAAGGCGCCGAAGAAATCAAATAAACGGAACAAGAGTCTTTCCGAAGAGGAGATGGAGCGATTCCCTTTTCCCAGGTGAGCGCCGACTCATTTCGCTTCAATATTCAGGAATGCTCTCGATCTCTATCTCTGTTTTGCACGGCGTTTAGTCATGCGAAACCTCCACTAAACATCCACGCAGCGCGCGAGGTAACTTAATCCTGATTCTAAAAATAACTCGTGACGAATTACCTATGGACTAGGGTGTGTATGGGGGATGCCTTCTCTTTATCTTTATCCACAGTAACTCGAGACTGAAATTAAGTTCCATGATCCAGCCTGCTTGCTTTGAGAGAACGTTCCGCACCAACAGCACATACCAAGGTGATCTGCCTGTTGTATGAAAAACAAAACAAAGTGCTATTTAAGTAAAACACAGAGGCTATACCCTAGGCTATCAAGGGGGAGGGGGTGGGGATGGAAAACCTTTTAGCAGTAAGATAACTAAACTTTACTAATGAGATTAAAACATACGAAATGAGAAATACATGTATACATATAATTTACTGACCGCTTACTTTGACAACTCAGCCGTCTACTTCCAAACTCTCTGACAACCCTGATTCATTCACATTACATTTACATACATACAGTTGTGTTTCATAGTAATAGCTAGTACATTATGTTGTCTGTAACCTGCAACTTTAAGACTGTGGACCAGGGATTACATGTAAATGTAAACAGAGGCTGTCTATGATTCCCAGTACCGGTAACAAAAAGCCTATTTTTCAAGGGCACAACCTCCCTCAGGTTGCACATTATATCTACACGTACAGGGTAAATACCAGGGAAGGCAGGGGAAAGTAACAAGGTCTGGGTGCAAGAAATGATGTTCTCACAACTTGTAAAGCGATCACCCTGGTGGGCAACAGATAATTTATTGCAGTAAATGTATACTTCTGGTGTACAATGTATTACACAAAACAAAATTCGCATCAAACTCCCCTGAACAAAACAGTTTGGCTATCAAACAATATCAAACCAGCTTTTTTGAGGGTTTGATGCCTGAACAAATCGAAACAAACCAAAATAATATTATTATATTGGAAAAAAAATCAAATGTGAAAACTGAGTCAACTCAACAAGCCAAGGAAATCTGACAAGTGCTGGATTCAGAATATGCTACAATTGAGGCCAGTTAAGGAGTGAGGAGTAATAATTGACACGATTCCCAAGATGACTTCAACTTGCAGATTTAAAAACTTTTTTCCTTGGTAAACAAAATAAATGTATTGACATTTTCAAAGAAAATGTTTATTTTAGAATTTAATTCTGAAATGGAAATAACAAAAGAAGCAGGACCTTACATCGAATTGACTGCTTTCATACTAGATCAATAATTAAAACACTTGCCATCAATTGTTTGGAACTGAAACGTTTGATTTTGTTCCTTTCAAGTATTCCTTATGTGAGTTCTACTTTGTTCGATAACCCAACTCAATCTTTGACTGACTTCAAAAATCAAATGATCTATTCAATTTTTTCTTGTGAGTGGGTTTTGTTGAATGGCTGAGCTGCATCAAACTCTTTCATTCGAAAGAGTTTGATCTAGTTTGAAAGCCAACCATTCATTGTGATATGCTGGATATACATGTACATGTATTTCCTAAAGTTAATATTTTAGCAGTGAGAGGCAAACCGACAGTTAATAAATCAATAATTGACAAAAATATCATGCCTCTTTGTTTTTCTCACATGTTGTAATAATATTGTTTCTTGGTATTCAAGTTGCAAGGGAAACTAAAAAACAAGTGACAGTCACCGCAACCATGTAACGTCTTAACTGACAACAATGTACACTGAGCTATGAGTGTGGATTTCAGATTACTATAGTTATGATGCTGATAAAAAACACTGGAGAAAGCGTCAAATTTAGTCGAACTAAGTCTACTATTCCAAAGAGCTTATAAATACGAGCTTATAATTTTGAATAAACAAATTCACTTCTCAGCATTTCACTCTGTTTATTACAGTCAGTTCAACAACTTAAATTCAGATTTAAAATTCAATAAACCAAGCAAACAAAGCAAAACTATTCCTGAAAGCTCAGTTCCTTGAATTATAATTGAAATGACTTTAAAGTGCCTGTGACACAGTTGTGTAGTAAACTGTTGTCCACTTTGTCTATATTGCCAATAATGTGTCCTTATGCTGTAATATGCTGTCTGAAAAGCGGCATTATATCAATACACTTGTGAATAACCAAAATACAATAAAGAGAAATTGTCCCACCTTCAATTTCCCTTTTTCAGTTTTTACAATGTATCTCAAAACCACCAATCTTTGGTTATTCAAAGAATGATCAGTAAACAAATCTGCTCGTTGCTTTGCAAGTTGTGGGAACATTGTTTGGATTTCAAGAGAACTTATTTAAGGAGTACCCCACTTCCCCCTGGTCAATATGATGCTTGCATAGGGTAATACAGGATAA